TGATCAAGAAACTTCTAATACTAAGTCTTGAAGTCAACTCTGATAGTGGCATACTCTGAATAAAAGAAGACTGTGAGAAAGCAAATCTAATCAATGCAGAATCAAGCCATTACAAGACTCTATAGAGCAAATCAAGCTTTAATACAAAGAAGACATTAATTTGAACACAACTCAAACAGAAGTATAATAATAGATTATGAAGTAAAGCAAACTCTTATCAAAGAAGCTTGCAAAGAAAAATTTGAAACAAGCAAAGTCTGAAGAAGTTAACTATGATGGTCAATTCAGAAGAAAGCAAAGTCTAATGGAAAGTAAACTTCAAATCAAAGCAAATTATGAAGAAAGATCTGAATGACGTCATTTATAAAATTCATACTCTGAAGAAAGTTATACCATTGAAGAAAGAAGGACAAAGCAGATCTTTTATTAAAGAAGACTCTCATAAAAAAGCTTATGAAGCAAAACTTCGAACAATGTAGAATCTGATGTGAACACTGAACAACGTAACATATAGACTCTAAACAAGATACTTTGGACTCTAACATCAACAAACTATGTAAAAAAAAGTGTTAAATGAAGAAGTGATTATTTGAATGTTCAAAGACTATGCTTGTGCATCAAACAACCTACACTCAATTTGAATTCAAGCTTCATTCTCACTAGACTCTAATGTCTACACCTTCAAAGCTCTAAACTCCAATCAAGCTTTAAATATAATTTCAATATGAAGCCAATGATTTAGAGAAAATAATATAAAGAATACTCGTAAAAGTAGTACATTGAATACAATAAAATCAATTGTTTCCTATTGGGACAAATGCACTATTATTCAGAAAGGACTATTGTATTCTTCTGTCTTGTCTCATGTCAAATTATCTCACCCACTTTAATGTTGTAACCATGTGTGTCTTGATAAATTTGTGATAGTGATCAAATTTCTACTTTAATACCAATAGATCTATTATTCTTCCTCAATGGTAACATTTTCTATTTATTTAAGGAGGACTTAGAAGATTAGAAAAGTAAGAGAGGTAGAGAAAAAGTATAACACTAAGTGCGAAAGAGCATCAGAGATAAGTGAAAGAAAATAAAGTGTTCTCAAACAAAGTAAAGACACTTAAAATGATCTCATACTATAACAATGAGTAAACACAAGATGTGTTATTAACGCATAAACACAATTGAGAAACACATAACACTGATCTGGAGTTGCAAAATGTAGATATACAAGAATAATCTCAAATATCAAAAGGTCAACTGCAAAAGCACAACAAGATGAACATTTGTGCAAAACCAAGAGATAAGAACAGTAAGCACTTAGAGCTCAACATTCTATATCTCGCTTAAGTGTAAATTTAGATTGTAAATTTGTGTAATCTGCTTAACAAAGAAGCACACTTGTAAACACAAATTTGTTGTAACCAAGTTTGGTTGTATTCCTTAAGTGAACAGGTTGGTCAGGTTCTTGAGAGGGCTTTGACATATTTTCAAAGAGGATGAACTCCTTAGGGACCGGGTAGGTCAGAATTCTTAAGGAGTCAATGACCGCCATATTTCTTAGGGGACCAGGTTGGTCAGAATTCTTAAGAAATCATTGACAGATTGCCATTTTTTGTAATCAAATTGATTATTAGATTAAATCCTTTTCTAAAGCAAAATCACTCAGGTGAGTGGACTGGAGGTATCCTGGTTAATGGTGAACCATGATAAAAAATACTCGTGTCTTTTATCGTTGTCCTTATTATTGTTGTTGCTACTGTTGTGTTTGTTTTAGGATAGAAAAAGTTGGCATACTTGAAACCCAATTCAAACCCCAATTTCTTGTGTTTCTTGCACCTTCAGAAGGTAGGTGAAATACCATGTTTTTTCATCTATCTGGACAGAGAGCAAATCTTTTCAAGATGTAGTAAATAACAATTCACTGTGGATGGTTGGTAATGAGGAGAACATTAATCTTTGGAGAGATAACTGGCGTGGTTAATCTCTGAATGATTTAATTCAAATTCTTAGGGAAAATCTTGAGCATTTACAAGCAACTTTGAAATATATTATTCATGAATGCAAAATTATTCTACCTTCAGGTTACTCAAGCTTTATCTTATCTTACCGCAACTAACTGCTAGTGTCTATGTTAACCAGCAGGCGAATGATAAATTGATTTGGAAACCTATTGATAATGGTTAATTAACTATTAAAGATTCGTATAATTTCTGCAGCAAACCTATCAATCGTGCTTGGGGAAGTAATCTTTGGAACAATGTCATTCCTCCTTCTAAGTCCTTGCTCTTCTAGAGATTGGTTCACGGGAAGCTGTTTATCGACAATAATTTGTTGATGTGAGGTCAGGTTTTCTTGTTTGCCTATAATTTACGTTTTCATAATTAAAAATCTATGAATCACCTATCTTTTTTAATGTTCTTATGAAAAATATATTTAGAACTAGTTATGCAATTTGCTCGATATTTGTTTGGTCATTTGTAGCTTGATAGATTGTATGAAGGTTATTGGTGATGTTCGTTCTGCTCAGTGTCACGTGGTATTTAAAGTTTTTGTCTTGAAATCAGTAGCTTGCATTTAGAGCGCTAGCAATTAGGCCAGGTTTCAAAACAAGAAAATTCATTAGAAGTCTAATTGCGCCATCATCTTGTCTCTAACCTCATTGTCGGGTAATCTCACACAGATCAGAGCTAATTCTTCCATTAGGGACTTTGTGCTATTAAAGAATTTTAAGGTTCACCTTCATTGTCCTCAAACGGTACTGGAGGTTTTGTGGTCGCCTCCCCAACATGGCTAGACCAAGGTAAACGTTGATGAAACCTCTAGTGCTATGCCTTTGTTGGTTGCGTGTGACGGAATTTTCTGGAATTGTTTAGGTGAACATCTTGGTAGCTTTCGTTACAATTCAAGGTTTGTCAATGCTTTATTTGCTGAGCTCATGAGGCTATTTTGGCTAGTAAAAATTGGTCGAACCGGTGATTGAAAATTGACCTCTCTTTAGTTGTATCTACTTATAGTAACCCTTCAGTAGTTCCGTGGAAAACTAGGAACATATGGGATAAGTGTTTGTTGAAGTTGTGTAATTTCAATTTTTTACTCATACATATTTAGGAAAAGAAATTATTGTGCAGATAAATTAACAAACATAGACTTAAAAGTTTTTAATCTTACTTGTTGGAACGAGATTCACTCAAATGTCTTGTTGGATAGTAACAAAAACAAATTAAATTTACCAAATTATAAAATTAGATAGGTTTGAGGTCAGATTCTTCGTCCCCTCTATTTTTATACCTATTTTCTTCATTTATTTGCTTTTATCACTTTTGATTAAAAAATACAATAAAAAATAATTAAAAAAAGTTAAAATCAATTGTAATATAATATGAAACATCAATTCAATTCATTTGTATTATGAATGATGCCGCCGTATCATATAGCACATGCATATTAAAAAATATGTTAGTTTGATAATTCTTTTTAAAATTCAGTTATTTTAGTATTTTATTTAAAAAGAGGTATTATGTAAAAAAAAATCAGAATATTTAGCTTACATGCCAGTTAAACTCATTTTGGCTCAATCATTTAGAGTCCAACAAAACCTTCTTTTCTTTTATAAAAAACACCTAAGAAAAGACCCAAAAATACAATCAATCTAAATAAAACCCTAACCTTTAATTTCTCTATTTTTATCCATACACTATGATTAAATTTATATACAAATTCACCACCCAAAAAGATGTAATATTAAAAAAGAAAAAAACAAATTAAATTTACCAAATTATAAAATTAGATAGGTTTGAGGTCAGATTCTTCGTCCCCTCTATTTTTATACCTATTTTCTTCATTTATTTGCTTTTATCACTTTTGATTAAAAAATACAATAAAAAATAATTAAAAAAAGTTAAAATCAATTGTAATATTTAAAAAGAAAAAAAATAAAGACTTAAGTCCCTCACCCGTGTACCACTAATTATGACCAAAAGATTAAATAAGTTCACACGATTTCAATATTTTTATTGTATTAGATTTTGATATTTTTCATCCCTCTCTATTATGGTCACAATTGTTTCTTTTTCTTCGTCATAAAAATAAGACAATACTTCTATTAACTTTTCCTTTTCAACACACATTTACAATTTATTATAGTACATGAGCAACTATTATTGATTCTACCTTTTTCTAATAAATAAACTAAATTCACCCCTATAGAAATAGAGAAGGAAAATGTACATGGGCAATTATTCGATTTACTGCAGTTAGTGTAATTTCTAAGAGTAATTTCTATGAGTGATCAATCCAATTTATTACATGGCCAATTATTGCAGCAATGTGTAATTTCAGAGAGTAATTAAATTTAAAGATTATTATGAGTGAATCCGAATTTATTACATAGACAATTATTCCAGTTAATGTGTGACGAGTAATTTTTAAGTGTAATTAAAGACATTATGAAAAATAATGACAACCTCTCCATCATAATAACTCTCAAATTAAAAATACAATAGTGGAAGAGGGTCTGATGCAACAAGTTAAGAAAGAAGAGAGAAACTTTGAAAAAAGTGAGATTTTTCTGAAGAGAAGTGGAAAAGATGATAAGAGAAAAGAGAAATGGCGGGGTTAGAGATTGTGTAAAGAAAGTAACAAGTGTTCTATTTTTTTCATAACTCATCTACGCCGTTTAAATTTATCTTAGGGTATATAAAAATGGTCCATCTATGAACCACTTACTTGATGGTTCACTCTAGATGTAACAAATGGTTCCAAAAAAAAATGGTTTACTTTTCCATAATTTTTTTTCCATTTCACCGTCCTCTTAACCCCACACATATATCTAATTGGTCTTTCTCCATTACCCACATCACAGACAGTAAGTTTATCAACTCATTTCATCACCAATATAAATATCCCACCACCTCATTCTCCAAGTCCAAACACAGAGAAACTCTCTTTCGTTCCTCTCTCACTTCATTTTCTCTCTCTAAACTTCCAAAGAAACCACAAAAATGGGATTCCCCATAGGCTACCCTGAAGTTTCCGTTCCCAACCTCTTCCTTCACCTTCTCTCTCTCCTTGCCTTTCTAAGATCCCTAGCCATATCCTTTCTCTCTCTCCTCCACCTCTCCGACCTCCTCGACACCGGTTTCTCCTCCGCCACCTTAACGGAATCACACTTCAACCGTCCTACGCTATCCGCAACTCTCATCCGCGAATTCCTACCTGTCGTCAGTTTCCGTGAACTCGCCGGAGATTCGAAACCGGTTGGATGTGCGGTGTGTCTGGAAGAATTTTCCGACGAGGAAGAGATCAGGTGTATGGCGAACTGTAGACATATTTTTCACAGGACGTGTGTGGACCGTTGGATTGATCATGATCAGAAGACGTGTCCGCTTTGTAGGACCCACTTTGTACCTTATCAGAAAATGGAAGATTATAATCAACGGTTATGGGCGGCTTGTGAATCTGAATGTGAAGATGATGATGATGTTTCTCTTTTTTCTCAACAGGATGATTATCACTACATTGCCACTGCTTCAATTTGAGTTTTTTTTTTTTTTTTTTACTTTTTGATTTTTTTTCTCCTAATATTTTTACAGGAGTTTTTTTTTTCTTTTTTAATATTACATCTTTTTGAGTGGTGAATTTGTATATAAATTTAATCATAGTGTATGGATAAAAATAGAGAAATTAAAGGTTAGGGTTTTATTTAGATTGATTGTATTTTTGGGTCTTTTCTTAGGTGTTTTTTATAAAAGAAAAGAAGGTTTTGTTGGACTCTAAATGATTGAAGCTAGAATGAGTTTAATTGGCATGTGAGGTAAATATTCTGAATGCTTTTTACATAATACCTCTTTTTAAATAAAATATTAAAATATTTTAGTTTTCAAAAAAATTATCAAACTAATATATTTTTAATATGCATGCGCTATATGATGCTGCGACAATATTGATAATACAAATGAATTAAACTGATACACTATCATATGACGATACCATTTAAAAAAAATTTAGAGGAGGCGTCATATGATATAACTCTTGAGTTTAATTTTTTTTTTTAAATTATATTTGAATTGAGGAGCCATATCAAATGTCATCTCCTCTAAAAGAAATTTGAATGGCGTTGCCATATGATATATAATATAACACATCACTTTAATTCATTTGTATTTTTAATATTGTCTCCATATCATATGGTGCATACATGTTAAAAGTAGGTTAGTTTGTTAATTTTTTGAAAACTTGATTTTAATATTTTATTTAAAAATATGTGTTATTTTTATTAAAAAATTCAAATATTCTTCTATTTAACTCTTAAAATAGGAAATATCTATAAAAATGCATTTGGTAATTATGTGTCTATAGTGAAAGTTGATTTTTTAATTTATTAAATAAATAATATATTTAATTCATACATTAATTATTTAATAATTTAAAAATTAAATTTTTTTTTATAAATAGTATCGAAAGTAGTACTATATTACTAGTTTATTGATTGAACTATTAAATTAGTAATCGAAGGGTATAGTCAATCAATTTATATATTAGTTGAATAATCTGATCTATGATAAAATTTCTTTTTTGAATGTCATTTTTTAAATTTTTTTTAATTCATTGGTGTAATTGAACATGTAAGCAGAATATTCTTCTCTTAAATAGTAGGCAATATCTATTCGAATGAATAAATCGACCGGGTCCTTAAAAAAATTACAAAATTTATAAATTTCAAAATTTTAATATATTATAATTTTATAAATTCATATTCAAATTCAAAGTTTAAATATAATTATCGTCACATAATATAAAATATAAATTTTAAAAAATTGAATAATATAACTAAAAATATTTTATATTTAAATAAATTGACTAATATAACTAAAAATATTTTATAAATTTAATTTCAATGAAGGAAAATTGCTTCAAATAGTTCAAATAAATTTTGAATAAAGTATTTATATTTATACTTATATATATATATATATATATATATATATATATATATATATATATATATATATATATATATATATATATATATATATATATATATATATATATATATATATATATATATATATTTTAAAATTATTGAAAAACAACATCCTTTTGTAAAAGAATACAAGTATTTAATTCATTGGATTTTCAAAACCAAAATACTTGTTTAAAAAAACAAATATTTAATTGGGTTTCAATCAGATCAATGACCTTTGTGACTCTCAATTCTTTTATAAAGAGTATTCTTCTTCTTTTTATCACGAAAGTATTTATCTCTGAGAAAAAAAATAAAACTACCATTGAATCTTAAATGACTGTTTAATGCGGGGCCCTTCACCTTTCATGATTAGTAGAACATGTGGTAGTATATTATATGGAGTACTTTTCAACTATAGTTATTTAAATATTTTTATTTTTCACACTTACCTTATATTTTAAATTGACTTGATTTTAAAATATAAAAGCAAAATCGATAATAAAAACAAAAACACCAACCCCTTATTTGAAATTATTTACTACAAACAAGAATAATTTTCCTGTTTTTTTTGGTGTGGACAATTTTGTATTTGTTGTGACAGTGTTCTAGAAGGTAGGTAATATGTGTGAATCATCGCCACGGTCCTCCATAGTCCATAACAAGACACTGCAGAGCGCCGGCGTGTTCTTTCGGTCAACCAGAAAGCTGTGTTTCCAATTATATACGCAATCGAAATCTTGTTGTTTTCACATTCCTATTACTATTAATATGCATCTCAATAACAAGTAGGTAGTACCTATTGAAGCTATTTTTTGAAGTGATTAATTTAGTATATTTAAGAATTAAGGTCGTACAGTACATCATTGGATATCCATTGCTAAACTATTATTTTAAGCTGACTTATATTATTAATTAATCTAACTCATTGCATCACCAATATAAATATTCCACCACCTCATTCTCCAAATCGAAACACAGAGAAACTCTCTTTAGTTCCTCTCTCACTTCATTTTCTCTCTCTAATCACTTCATTTTTTCTCTCTAAACACTTCATTTATGGGATTCCCCATAAGCTACCCTGAAGTTTCCGTTCCCAACCTCTTCCTTCACCTTCTCTCTCTCCTTGCCTTTCTAAGATCCCTAGCCATCTCCTTCCTCTCTCTCCTCCACCTCTCCAACCTCCTCGACACCGGTTTCTCCTCCGCCACCTTAACGGAATTACACTCCAACCGTCCCACGCTATCCGCAACTCTCATCCGCGAATTCCTACCTGTCGTCAGTTTCCGTGAACTCGCCGGAGATTCGAAAGCGGTTGGATGTGCGGTGTGTCTGGAAGAATTTTCCGACGAGGAAGAGATCAGGTGTATGGCGAACTGTAGACATATTTTTCACAGGACGTGTGTGGACCGTTGGATTGATCATGATCAGAAGACGTGTCCGCTTTGTAGGACCCACTTTGTACCTTATCAGAAAATGGAAGATTATAATCAACGGTTATGGGCGGCTTGTGAATCTGAATGTGAAGATGATGATGTTTCTCTTTTTTCTCAACAGGATGATTATCACTATATTGCCACTGCTTCAATTTGAGTTTCTTTTTTACTTTTTTTTTCTCCTAATATTTTTGTAGGAGTTTTTTTTTTTTCTTTTTTAGTATTATATCTTTTTTGGTTGGTGAATTTGTATATAAATTTAATCAAAAATATTAGTGTATGGATAAAAATAGAGAAATTAAAGGTTAGGGTTTTATTTAGATTGATTGTATTTTTGGGTCTTTTGTTAGGTTTTTCTTATAAAAGAAAAGAAGGTTTTGTTGAACTTTAAATGATTGAGCTAGAATGAGTTTAATTGGACATGAAAGCTGAATATTCTTCTATTTAACTCTTAAATAGGTAATATCTATAAAAATCAGTTTGGTAATTATGGTTCTATTTATGAGTGGAAGTTGATTTTTTAATTTATTGAATAAATAATATATTTGGTTAATTATTTAATAAATTCTAAAAATAGATTTTCTTTGCATAAATAGAAACGGAAATAATATATTACTAATTTATTGATTGAACTATTAAATTACCAATCGAACAGTATGGTCAACCAATATAAATTATCAATCGAACCGTATGGTCAAACAAATATAAAGTGGTTGAATAATCTGATTTCTATAATAAAATTATATTTCTTTCTATTTTAAATGTTATTTTTAATTTTTTTTAATCTTTTTTAATTCATTGGTGTAATTGGACATGTAAGCTTAAGATTCTTCTCTTAATAGGCAATATCTATACGGATGAATAAACCGATCTAATCAAATGACTGGGTCCTTAAAAAATTACAATATTTATAAATTTCAAAATTTTAATATATTATAATTTTACAAATTCATTTTCAAATTTAAATTTTAAATATAATTATTGTAACATAATATAAAATATAAATTTAAATAAATTGAATAATATAACTAAAAATATTTTATATAATTTCAATGAAGGAAAATTGTTTCAAATAGTTCAAATAAATTTTGAATAAAGTATTTATATTTATATTTATATATACTTTTTAAAATTATAAAAAAAAGCATAGTTTGTGATCTGACCTGATCAGAAGGAGATCACGCGCTGGCCACATTGTTGGACTGCTACCTGTTCACCGTTGATGAGGAGGAGAAGGGGGGTGTACCTGCAAAACACTTTGATGCCAAAGTAAGGAGTTGGGCAGAGTGGGAGCAAAGCACAGAAAGTGGGTAAGAAGTGAATTACTGGCCCTCTTGTGGAAGAGGGTATTTATAGAGACCCCAGCGTTGGGCCAACGGTCACTTGTGTTGGGCTGGATTGCCAGGCCCAACCCAGGTGACTGCTAGGACTTACGTGGCGTAGTGAAGACCAGAACGTGGTCTTCGCCCTAGTTCAACCGTCCCTTGATCTCCGGAAAGTGGGTTTGACCTGCTCTTTCGGAGGTGGGCAGTTGGTTAGTGACGTGTCCCCGCGGAGGGGAGCACGTGGAGAACGTGCGCAGGGCACGTTGTTCTGCCCGCGGAAGGGGCTCGCGAGGTTTCCCGGAGGCACGTTGTTCTCCCCGAGGAGGGGAGCACACATGGGCGTGGGAGTGCTATGGGGTCTTGCTCGACGACATGGGGAATACCGCCCGCGGAGGGCGGTGCTTGGTCGTGCGGGCGACTCTCTTGCCCGGCGTGGTTGGGACGGTTCTTCCTTGCGAAGAGATCTTTCTAGCGTGTCGGGGATCTTGTGCCCGACGCGATACCCCGGACTAGGTAGGGCCTATTAGAACATTATTGGGCTGGGCCGGCGTAATTCTAACCCGGGGCCCAGGCCAAAACAGGAGCCCCCCAAGTCGTTGCTCCGAGGATGGGAGTGAGGACTTGATGACGTCGTTCCGGGGAAGTGGACTGGTCGGGGAGGATTCCTCCGTGCGAGGACGCGTGTTCTTCGTCGTCGATCGTCCGGGCTAAAAGACGGGTATTGATGGGGAGAGGTGAAGAGACGCGTTTGTCTGCTTCCGCCACGTGTCGCGTTCTGGGTGGCTGCTAGGGCGGCTACCCTAGGGTACTCAAGT